AGCTGGAGATTAGCTTCCTGGCTACATTCCAAACTGGCAGCATTTCCCTTCCTTCCATCCGTAGAGGCAGGTGTCTAGAAAGAAGGTTCTCCTGTATCCTGAATAAGTACTTCCACCTCCCCCCTCTAACTTCCCTCCATGTATATATGTTCCTTTGGGGTTTCTGCAAAGAAAGATCCGCCATAGATGTCTGAGTTTAGAGAGACACTGCTTGGTCTTTAAGTGGAGACAGCTCTGGAGCAGTGTCAGTTTGGGTTGTGGGGTTGTCTCGTGGTATTCTGCCGATGGGTCTATTTTTGCCTGGGAGCTGTGTGTGTGTGTGTGTCTGCTTTTCGAGAGAGTGGCTGGTTTGTTTCTTGCAGATATTATCTACAGAGGCACTGCTCATGAGACACATTCACACTCCTCAGGATGTGCATCCGTTATGCCCATGACGGCAGTCCAGACTCTTTACATCATTTTATTAGAGCGCTTTTATTTTCATCCAAACTTGTAATTTATGACTAACAAGTGTCAGCTGAATTAGTGCTTTATTTATGAATACAGGAATAAAAACTTCATACTTTTTTACAAGCCTGGGGAGGGTTGTTTAAGGCCAGGTGCCCTGACTTCACTCAGTCCATGAACCGTGTGGCACACTGGCAAAATCCAAGTTTAGTTAAGAGGATTTTGTAAGTGCAAAAAAACCCTCCTAAAAACCTTTAGCGTATGGTAACGTGTAACAGATTAATACAAATTATACTCAAGAATGTAATGTTTTTGATGTAGATTCAAAAGCTATTTAGCCTTTCGGGAGCTTGTTAGGTGGGAAGAAGGTAGTATATTTCATTAGCTGCTGGCACTTCTCTTTGAAGCTTCTCACTTAATTTCTCTCACCCTCCTCCTGTGATTAATGGCCCTGCTCTGGCAAGTGTTAAAAGCTTTATAAAACAGTTTGAAGTTACTATACCATGTGACTCCAATGTAGAAATAATTATGTCTTTCTGTCATTTTAAAGTGACATTTACCATGCTGTATTAAGTAAATAAACATTCCTCCCTGACGTTGTCCAGGCCAATGTTACACAAACCTTCAAAACCTGCTGTTATAGTTATAATATGCATTAGTATCCGGTCAAACAAGTCTTTCCTTTGCTTTTGTTTGCAGCTCCACTTTGTTTTTAATGTTGTGGTAAAGGCAAACATTCCACACTGTATGTTTGTGTCGGCTGACGTAATATGTCAAGTGGAAGATTTTATGTCATCGTGTCTTCCTCAGTTGTAATGACACTAAGCTATGGAAAAAAAAGTACAGCGTTTGTTTTCATGTGTGGTAATGCAAACACCCTGATGATAATATGTTTTCAAATAGCGTTTTAAGGTATTTGACATGCTGTGTAAATTTCATTTAAGTCCATACTGGATATATAAGCAGTCTGGAAATGTTTGAAATAATATTTTGAAGAGAGCTGGACTCTCTTCAAGAGGACATTGAAAGAAACTGTGCAGAGAATTGCGACTTTCTGAGCAGTTCTTTCTGTTTTCTCACAGAGATTAAATATGTTTTTAAAAACAAGGCAATTGCGCAGAGATATTTGGTCCTTATATGTCAGAGTAGTATTTACAATAAAAACTCCTGTAATGACATTCTACCTGTTATGGCTATGTTTGTTTTAAGTTCAAACACGTCAGCTAGGATGAGATGGAAAGGTAAACTAGAGACGGTTTCTAGCCACCCGGAAGCAGGATGCAGGATACAGATGTAGAAACTGCCACCCGAAAACCACATCAGTAAATTCATATTGGGGCGGCTGAGACAGGATGTTAGTTAAATGCAAGAGACCTTATATTGTGCTGTTGTGAAAAACAGGATTTTGGTGGTGTTAAGAGGAAAATATGTGGAATAAGGCCTTATGCAACCGGTTTACCACGTCCTGACATGGCGGGTACATGTGTAAACAGTAGGCATCTGGTGGTTGGAGGCCAGTGGGATGTTGTCGTGCAGCGACAGGTGTCATCCAGCTGCTGCTGTTCACAAGGAACCAAGAGTGTAGACAAAAAGGGGGAAGGTGGAACAGATATATTGGACAGGTGTTGGCTGCTGAAATTGCCTATCAACACTAAAATTAGTTTGTTTATTAGTTATTTATTTACTCAAGCTCTAGCTGGCACAGCCTCAGGTTGTTAGTAACACAGGTAACAAGCACAGGGAAGTTGCCATTGGAAACTGTTTGGAAAAAAGTGGAAACTTTCATAACTGATGGTAGCAGCATCTACGCTAACCTCTTTTGCAGCCACCATTGTTGTTGTTACTTCTCCCACACATCATCGATGATTGATTTTTGTACAGATTAACCAAAAAAGATGAGATGTGAGCTATAGATTTTTCTGGTAGGAAGATTTCTTTTACCTTTTGTAAAGATCCAGGCTTGCTGCTTCCAAGTCAGAGGAAGGCAAAAGTGAATAATTTTGCATTTCACCCTGAAGTTTTTTTTTGTAATTTGCATTGTGAATAGGTGCTGAAACTTGCTAACACAATTTCAGTTTGGTGGTGTAAACCCTTCATAAGACAGGTGTATTTTTACTGAAACATCTTGTGTTGAAATCTTGAAGTTGGGAGTTGTGATTCCTCCCTTTTTCAAATGTCATAAAAAGATTAGAGCCTTTTGTGTATGAATACCGTGTTGAAGTCAATTGAATTTGGGTTTTCTCCTTCCCTGTTTGTCTAGTCTAAACCCAGCTCCTCCAAGGTCGGGTTACCAGGAGTCCAATGTGCAATGATGTGTTTATCCTATAGAGCGCTATCGTTTATTCTCCTCTCAGCACAAAGCTTCTATTTTGCTGCTGCCCTCCCTACTGAGCCAATAAGACTCTTTGTCTGTATAGTGTCTGTGTGGAACATGTGTGCAGTTGGCATGTCACAAAACAATGTCCGCACTCATCTCATGTCACCTCGGATATACGCAATGTCAGATGAGAGCAAGACTCACACACTGCACGTCATTTTGCAGGTGTCATTGTGCATTGTTGTTTATTGTGAATCACAGCATTTATTAGGGGGATTTCTCTGATTCATTAGTTAAGTAGTGCTTTTTACTGACATTGAGCAGTTTTAGTAATTTAGTATAAAGTTGTTGTTTTTTTCACATAATGAAAGTAATCTCAGGCCATGAGCTGACGTGTCTCATATTAAAGTATTGACAAAATTCAAAGCATTAACATGTTTTACTTATACCACGTAACACAAGACACACATGCCATAAGTTTTAGTATTTTTCTGGTCAGTATTCATACATTTACAGTAGGATAACCATCCTGAGAGGTTTCAGGGTGGAACTGAACCCGATGTTCACCTCAGCTGAATCCTGATCCACCATCCAGTTGTATATTTTCCTTAAGTCTCAGTCTTCAGTGTGTGGACTCTTGGTCTCTCATCAGTCAGTCTCGCTGGAAGTCCTCCTGGAATTATGTCAGCTGCTGACATTTTTTAAAGAATGGGAGGGGTGCACTGCTCATTTACACAGGAATGTAATACTATTGGTGAGAGCGCTTTTCAAGTGTATGCAGTGTTTTTTCACGGCTGTTTTTCTTGCATTTAGTATGTGGCCATATGGCATTTCCATAGTGGCCCCAAGACTGTCTGTCTGCCTATTATGAATAGTGGTGGTGGATGTCAGGGTGGAGAGTACATTCCTCAGTAGGGCTGCAACTCAATTTCCATCTATTCATTAATTTTTTAAGCTGTATATGAAATGTCAAAGATAATGACCAATACCTATTACACGTTACCAGCACCCTTTTTTTCTGCGTGATACTCAAAAAACCCAAAACAATAATTTGCCAGTTAAATAAAATGGATAATTCCAAGTAATTTTTGACTAAAATTATAAATGAACGATCAAGTATGGTCTTCTCCCATACACTGTATCTACTTACTTCATACTCCAAGTATGAAACACTCACCACTGTAGGCTTAAAAAAGAGCAGGCTTATGGTCAGTTACAATTCAGTCCAGTGGTGAAAGGTTTTCACTGCTGGGGGAAAAAAAATAACATCCATAAGAACCTCTTAAACTCATTGCACTGTAGTCTACTTCTGTGCTGCTCATCTTTATAGAAACAAATCTGCCTTCGACACTCTTTCAGTCTCTGACAGTTTAAGAAGAGTTTGACTTTAAACAGAGAGAGCATCTGCACAAAGTAATAACTAGCCTCTTTTCACATATGATTTCACATATACACATACTTGTACATCTACAAAATGCAGTGAAGTGAGTGTGTATGCTGGTAAGAGAGAGAGACAGAGAGGAAGAGGGTGAGTGAGTATTTTTGGGATGGATGTTTCCATATATCTCAAGGACATCATTCGTGCACTCAGGAGCCTTGAGCAGCTATATTTGGTCTTATTTTTGGACAGAGCCACATCATTCAAGAGAGCTGTAGTTGTGTGTGTCGTGTCTGCAATAATGTGTGTACAGTCTTGTTTATACACTCTTGTGTCTATTGGGCTTGTGTGTGATGTGTGATTTTTTACATATGCCCACATGTCTGCGTATATAAATACTATTTTGAACTGTTTATTTTTGTAATTCCTTGCTGTGCATTTCTACCCTGGCATTTAGGTACTGAATGTTTTTTTCTCTTTGTGGGTTGTTTTCATCATTGTGATTTTAGACCTTAGACCTTGAGAGAAAGACAGAACGAGAGAGAGAACAATTTAACTATCCTTAGAAAAACATTTTCACTTCCCAGCTTTGAAAATGATGTAATGTCTGAAAACCTGCAGAAACTGAGACAAATATGTTATTGCAAAACATTTTTTTCTCAAATATTGATGACCATTAACTTGGCTCAACCTTGTTCGTGGTCTGTGTGCCCAGTTATAATCTTAGCAGTGACCAAGCGTTACGTATCTCTGACAACATCCAATGCATTAATTTAATTTCACCAAAGGCACAACTTCTCCAAATATGGTGAATATTCTGAACCATCTCATCGGACTTCTGGTTTGTTTTCTCCACAGCGGCACTGCCCTTCATCATTATGACCATCGTGTTCAAGCCATATCAGAGAGGGGTTTACTGTGACGACGAGAGCATCATGTACCCCATAAAACCAGACACCATCACCCATGGCATGCTAGCGGCTGTCACCATCTCCTGCACCATCATCATTGTAAGTTTTCATCAATCTCCCCTCTGCCCTCACAGGGAGTTTCTTTACACATCACCTTTGCCAAAATCATGGAAAGTTTACAGGACTTAACTCATTTAACAACATCCTGTGCTGTTTGCTCCATTACTGAATGGCTTTTAGGAACTGAGGAAAGTGTAGATGTATTAGGAGGAAAAAGTTGTTTCATTCTAATGAAGCGAAAAATGGTGGTGGGGGGAAATGGAACAAAGTCTCAAAGAAACTCTTTTCACTTTTCCCTCAGATCTCCTCTGGAGAAGCTTATCTGGTCTACAGCAAGAGGGTTTACTCTAATTCTGACTTCAATCAGTATGTAGCTGCACTGTACAAGGTGGTGGGCACCTTCTTGTTTGGAGCAGCTGTTAGCCAGTCTCTGACCGACCTTGCCAAGTTCACCATTGGCCGTCCGAGACCTAACTTCATGGCCGTGTGTGCCCCAAAGATCTGCACGGGATACATGCAGAAGATCAACTGCACTGGCAAGCTTCAGGACGTCACAGAGTCCAGGTAGGAGGAGAACATCTCCGTATTATATTTGTGTAATTAAAATTGAACACATTTTATGCGATAATATGCCAACAAGAGTCTACTGTTTAAATATACTGAATTAGGCATTAAATCTGTTTCTTTCTATTCTCCAGATTGTCCTTCTACTCTGGTCACTCCTCTTTTGGAATGTACTGCATGCTCTTCCTAGCGGTAAGTACAGCGCAGAAGCTTAAATCAATCATTAAAAGTCCTAACACAGTCCTAATACAGTGTAAATATGCATCTCTATGTACAGTAAACATGCAAATATCTCAGTGTGAATCATGGATAACAGTCCCCAGATGGGCTCGTCAGCCTTATGCATTTGGATCTGTACTCAAGGGCTAATTGTTGAGATAGAGAAAAGGCTCATAGAGGCGGTTTGTGCCAGCGGACATAAAAGGACAAGGCAAGAGTTCAGAGGAAGAATGTGTATACTGAGAGAAGTGATCTGGAAGCCTCTGCTGCCTTTTTCCCAGCAACGATGAAGGCAAAGCATGTGCTGTGTTCTGTCTTCCAGGCCTATCCAGTTCATTACCCTTGGCCTCATCTCTTTGTGTTAAAAACCAGGCATCAATGCTAGACAGCAAGCGTCAAGAGGCCAAGCAAAGCAGCATTGTAGCGCTCAAACAATACTTGAAAGAAAAGACATTTCCAGCTCGCGTCCATTCCTGTCTGTGGCTCAGTTCACACTCTCTGTTTTGCCAGGAAAATATTGCAAACAAATAGAGCTAAGCTGTGATATCCAGCCTGTGTCCTGCAGTGTTCGGTGCAGAGTGTGGCTGTGTGGCAGGGGGACTATGGTGTGATGCCAATTTTTGCACCTTCAACAGCAGCCCAGCAGAAGCCCAGAGAAGTCTGTACTATTGCCAGGTTCATAATTTTTTGGCGGCCACTATTTTCCAGTAAAAAAGGGGTTTCAGTCCATAGTGGATATAAATTAGATTCGTACTCAATACCTTTTTACAGAAATCCAATTTGAGTCATACCAGCCACTACTTTTGCATTAGAGAGACATAAACTCATGCTCCAAGTAAATTTACCTTTTTATTTTTGGTTTGTTTGAAGTGAGATACCATCTACTGTCCATTTAAAGCGAGCTGTCCATTTAAACAAATATAGAGATTACTTTTGCAAAGCAGAAATTTGACTGCTGCATTACTTCACTGCTTTGTCAGCATATTTCATCACATTGTGTCAATGCGAAATGCTGCAGATGTTGTTCCACACACAAATTACATTCTCCTAACCTTTTATGGTGTGATAACCTTTTAGGGGGCTTAAAACCGCTTACATCTTTTTTCAGTGTAATTACAAGTTGACAATAAAAGCAGAAAGGAATCCCTACATAAACATTTTTCTCCCATCTTTTCTCCCCTCAACCCTCCCACGATCTACCACCCTCTGCTCTTCTTCCACTCTATTTCCCCCCTCCAGCTTTACGTGCAGGCGAGACTGGTGGCTAAGTGGGCTAGACTTCTCCGACCCACCATCCAGTTCTTCCTGGTGGCCTTTGCGGTGTATGTGGGTTACACCCGAGTCTCTGATTACAAGCACCACTGGAGCGACGTGCTGGTGGGGCTGCTGCAGGGAGCTCTTGTTGCTGTGCTCAATGTGAGTCTCCAAGACAACTTCTTTCCAAGGGCAAACATTGCAAAACTTAAGAATTCCTACATGATATTTCCATGATGTAAAACTGTCATAACTTCTGATGGGATCTCCTATCAAGATGCTGAGCTGCTCATACAGTGAATGCAAGCCAATTTTTGCTAAATTTACAGAAAGGTTTATACTGAAAATAGTATGATGTCATAGTCTTTTAATTTAACACTTATCTCAACAAATCATGCTCACACAGAAAATGAAATGTTCTGTGAAGTAGCTCCAGCCCTCGACCTGATGACATCTTAACTCTGAGTCTTACTCCTCTGGTTTCTGGCTTAAGGAAAAGCAAACATGGGCGGGACTGTCCAGATCATAAGAAATATTATTTGATGGAAATCTTTATACTCCCTTTAAAGCGGAAACAGCCACTGAAGAATCCATATTTCAGCTTTATTTCAGTCTTGCAGTAAAATCCATATAGACAGGAAGCATAAAGGGAGTGTGATGGCTGCAAAGTGTGACAAACCCACACACTTAGACTGGCATGTTCTCAGGCAATAAGTCCATTCTCCTCACTTCATCCAGCTGGGCTTCTTTATTGTTTGGCCACTTCCCTGTTTTGAGTAAGACACTGTCAGCACCGCCTTGTGGAAATTGTGTGTGTGTGTGTGTGTGACCATGTATGATTAATTGGGAAGTGAGCCCGCGCCTTTGGCCTTCACAGTGCTGTGCGCAATTAGAGACCCTCCTGGGCATAGCATTTTATGGCCTACAGGGGTTGTGCCTGCTCGCTGTGTGTTCCTCTCAGATGTGTGTAAGTCTGAGTGTCACTTAACAGCTGTGCACAGACCTGTCCAGACATATGTTATCACAATTTCCAGCCCAGCCCTTACATTGTATCCCTTACGTGCTTATACTCCAATCTCTGTGGGAGAAATATCCCAAAGTGCCAAAGCTAACCTTCTCTCCGCTCTTTTTTCCTCCCGTCCTCTGCAGGTGCACTTTGTGTCAGACTTCTTTAAGAAGCGTCCTCCACGTTGCACTAGGCCAGACACAGCTGATAGCGAAGAGCCAGAGAGGAAACCCAGCCTGCAGATTGCAGACTCCGAGCACAGCAACCATTACAACTATCACCACAGTCCGGGCCCTGTGTGATTGGAGCTGACGCTAGGGAACAAAGGCTGCAGCCTGCAGACCCCAAACCTGTGTGATAAGGTCCAACTCTGGGGCCTTTAACCTTGATTGTGCATTTAACAGTGTTTAGTGCAGGGAATAACCTGGGTCATCTGCGGTCTTGACTCTGTAGGCTGCCCGCTGCAGTCTCCTGATGCTATGTGAGAAGCCCTATGAGTGTGAGATGTTAAATTAAGTGTATTAATTCTGCAACCAGCTCCCTCCTTCTGTGTCAACCACTTAAACCCCACCTACTCCCCAACCACTGGACTGACTGAGGGGGCTGCATCCCATCTACAGGTGCCTAAGCCCCCTCTCAAAGACACCATGATGACCTCCTTTTCTCCTATAAGTGAGAGAGGAGCATATTTTTTTAAGACATCATTGTTGATGTTGAAGTGTATATGCTTAAAGCTGCATTAAGCGAAAAACCCACAGCAACAAAGCTATGATAGAGCTATGATACACTAAGTGCTTGTGGCTAATGTGTTACACAGCAGAAACAGAGGAACATGGACATTCAAACCTTAGTCCTTTCCTGCCAACTGACAAAT